ACTAGATTTCTCTGCGTCATTACCTATTATAACAAGTTCCTAACGTTTTGTACGTCGAACCTATTTTAGGACCGACTTAGTGAAATAAAAGCCACCACTGTGAAAACTATTCTACAACAAATATCTAGATTTCGGCATTAAATAACCCATAAAGAAGTTGATATGGCGCTAAACAAAGTCAAATAAACAAACAAAGTTTCATCTAAAATCTAAAATTAAAAGAATGTCTGGTTCGGAGAAAGATCTGCTCTAACCTATTTTTAGTGAATCTGTGTAGAGACAGCAAATGAAATAAATGCCCGGAAAATGCATTGTTTTTCAAAATTTATAATTAAAAGTTACACGTCATTATGGGTTTAAATTTTTTTATTCACAGACATTTTTATAAATTTGTAAATAAAAAATATTTTCATATTTATTTTTTTTGTAAAATTGTAAATTATAAATATTTAATTAAATTTGGTTCACATATTGTTGTAATCTTGTAAATATAAAAATATTCTTGTAAATAAGCAATCTAATAAATAAATTGGGTTTAATATTTTTACTGTCAATTCTTGAGAGTAAAGAAAATGTCTATAAATTCATTTTCATATGTCTGGGTTTTATTAAAATTCTAATCATCGCTTTTTGAAACAACAAATATTGCCGAGGGAGTCAAGTGTGTATACAGTAATAGCGGTATCAAAGGAATAACTATCCTTTTGACACACCGTTTATTTTTTCAGGCACGAAGGTTAAACATTGCCTTTTTTTTACTACCCAGAAAAACTACAAGAACTCCCATAGAACGTATCGAAGAAAAGGGATATCTACTAACCGCCCACGCGGTCAGCTGTGGCACAAGTCCGAATTTAATATGGGGTATCCGAGCCCGTAGGCTCGATCAAAAATTCCCCGTACACCACGTATAAAACGGGGTCGAGTAACTGTTTCCTGAAACGAGACTCTGCCCTTCGACATAGCTTCGTCTGGGGATCCTCTCTTCCCGGAGAGTTTGACCAGCACAGCTGGAGACGAATCTCCGACTACAATTGCAATATCTAATATCTGGGCAGTGTTTTAACAGAGGACCGAAAGTGCGGCACAGAAATTGAGTTAGCGAAAGATGCTTTCCAAAAGCTAAGCAAAGTATTAACAGGAACATTTTTTGTTAGAAACAAAGAAAAGAATACTGAACTGCTATGTAGCTTCATTCTTTATATATGACAGTGAATGATGGATAATCTTCGCACAGATGAAGAAGAGACTTGAACCAAAAGAAACGTGCTTCTACAGAAGGATACTGAGAATACCATGGACTGGACATGGGAGCTACGACAAAGTTTTAGAGAAAACAAAAACAAAAAGGAAACTTATACTTAACATCAGAAAGAGACAGTTAACATTTCGGGAGCACACAATGAGGAAAGAGGGCTTGGAAAATTTGATACTCACAGGACATAGTGGAAACAAAAGCGAAGAGGAAAGCAGCGCATCACATGCCTAGCGAGTTTGAGTAAATGGATGGTGGAACAAGATTTAGGAGAGATAACAAAAAGACAAAATTTATTAAGCGCTACAAAGGAAAAGAAATTGTCGAGAGCCATGACCATCAACATACTGAAGGGACATATCACACTGAATACGAAGGAGAAGAGTTGACAAAAGACAATTATACACGATATTCAGATTAAACTTAAATCTATCGTGAGTCTTTCTTGTCGCTAATACTTTTTCGTATATCCGTAACAGATTTCACTTTTGAAGACCATGTGTCGTATCCTGTCGGCACTCCCATAATTTTAAAAAAACACCTGGAAGAAAAAACTTCACCTTCAAGGACCAGTGATTTTTGTAAATCTGATTCAGGATTTAAAAAAAAGATTTTGTTCTCCCGTGTCCGGCTCACGCCTTACGAAGGGCTTTATCTATGTAAAATAAGGGTGTGTGTGTGTGTGTGTGTGTGTGTGTGTGTGTGTGTGTGTGTGTGTGTGTGTGTGTGTGTGTGTGTGTGTGTGTGTGTGTGTGTTTAAATTGCTCAATGGATAATAATAATAATAATAATAATCTGCACTGAAAAATATGTATTCTTACGAGTAGGAAACTGCAAGAAATTGAACACCATCCACACCTGGTTACGGAGATAGGACCTGTAACAACCATATGAGACTTTACAATACACACAGAGAGAACAATCAAAGCTAATCGCCCAGACATCGTGATCAAAGACCACTAGGACAGAATGTGCTTTCTTATTGACATGGCAGTCCCTGCAGACTGTAATGAATATTCGAAGCTATCAAAATACAAGGATCTTGAAGTGAAAATCTCAAAAATGTGGCACAGTTGTAGTTGGAGCTCTCGGATTGATTAGAAAAGGTTCCGATAGACTCATTGAAGGGATTCCTGGTAACTCAGGCCTTAAAGAAATATTAAAAATTGTACTCACAACTCACATATTATGAAGAGCTTTATCTATGTAAAATGTATGTGATCTTAGCTTTTTTTTTTTTTACAAAAAATGATCAGTAGAAAATGTCATGAAGCCATTTCCGACCTTTGGTCTTTGGTTGTGACCCGGAAGGAAATGTGCATACACAGAAATCCAAGGAAAAAAATAATCACATCAACAATAACAATAATAGTAATAGTAGTAGTAGTATTAGTAGTATATTATTACTACTACTACTAATAATAATAATAAATTGTCATTAAAGACCACAAACAAAAACGGTGCCTCCTTGTTGATATGGCAGTCCCTGCTGACTGCAATGTATCTTTGAAGATATTCAAAAAGTTGTCAAAATACAAGGACCTTGAAATAGAAATCTCGAAAATGTGGCATATGGGAACATCAACAATCCCTGTTGTAGTTGGAGCCCTAGGACTGGTTGGAAAAGATTGCAGTAGACTAATTGAAGGGAGTCCTGGAAGTCCATGCCTCAAGGAGATACAAAACATTGTTCTGACAAGTACAGCCCACACTTTACGAAGGGCTTTATCTATGTAATTTTTTTTTTTTTTTTGTCAGTGGAAAGTGTCATGATGCCATTTCTAACCATAGGTCTCTGGGCGGGACCCGGAAAGAAATGTGTAAACGCCAGAAATCAAAGAAAATAATAATAATAATAATAAATAAATAAATAAATAAATAAATAAAAAGAAAAATAAGGAATTTTTCTGATCTATTTTGAAAATTAATACCAGTAATGATTTTTAGTAACTGATAGATTAGCATTGTCATAGATTGGAGCCAAGAATAGAAATTTCGATTTCTATTTAGTTCTCACTAAAAAAAAAAAATGTTTGTCAACCTCTCCCCGTCGAACCTCCACTAATACACCTTTGTATCAAATGCTTTTAAAATCAAATATAATTGTTCATTTTATGTAAGCCTGTATATGTAGAATTAGAAAAGATTAAGATATATCAAGTGAAAGTATTTAATAAAATATGACAATTAATATGATCGCTAGTTTTTTATTTTCAGTTGTAAGTTTAAAAAAAAAAAAAAAAAAAATATTAGCGATGAAAACTTCAACAAAATCCTTAAGTTCCGCTTTCGTTCAGCAGTTTAAAAAGTTTTTTGTTTCTTTTTTTTTTTCGTTTTTCAATGTCAAATATCCTGTTTGTTTATTGTGCTAAGAAAAAAACATCCATTTTTATTTTTATTATATTTCATTTATTTATTTATATTTTGTAGAAAAACATCGTCAAGAAAGTCATTTTAATCCAGGGAAAGAACAGAATGAACAAAGTGAAAGACCAGATATTAAAGAAAAAAAAATGCAGAGAGACAAAAAAAAAAAAAAAACGGGAAAATGTGCAGACTGGCGTATGACAGCGCATGCGCACCGAAAACAGGCAGTCGGGTGGGAACGAAAAGCAGATAATAAATTATAATAATAATTGATACATAAAAATAACGCAAATGTAATTCGATCGTTTATATTTATTTATTTATGTATTTATTTATTCTGAAGAACTGTTGTCGCTAACACGACTTGGTTTTCAGCAATATGAATTTCAGACGTTCTACTTATGTTATATAAACAAAAAACAAAATAAACAAAAAAACATATTATCAGCGGGAGCCGCGTATATAGATAGTAAAAAGGGGAGAGGGTTGGAGTAAATGCGTTTATATAAGCGAAAAGATTAAAAACAACAAAAAGAAACTTGTTTTTGTAGATATGTAAAAATATTTTCACGTGACATTATGTCTCGGCGAATACATACATACATACATACATACATACATACATACATACATATATATATATAATATATATATATGTGCGTGTGTGTGTTTGTGTGTGTGTGTTTTTTAATTTAATCTTTAAAATACTTAACCACAGGAGATTCTCAGTCGTTTTTAATGAAATTTGTATAAAAAGGAATTGCTATCCAAATACATTATATATATATATATATATATATATATATATATATATATATAGAGAGAGAGAGAGAGAGAGAGAGAGATAGATATATATATATATGATAAAATATAGTTTGAAGTTATGCAATATCGAATAAAAGTGCTCAATATCAGAGGAAGAGCGTGTGTAAATATAAAAGTGGACGCTACTGATGTCAACATTCAACGCAAATTTCAGGCCTGAAGGTTGCGTTTAAGCATGCAATAGTGTCGCCGAGTGTTGACAACAATAGCTACACACACACAAGCGCGTGCGCTCACACACACGCACATAGACAAACACAGACGCCGAAGGCCGCATCTTTAATAAGATTTCTCGAATATTCAGACCTGTAGACGAAAATAAATAAACATACTGTTTAATAAATAAACGGGGCGTCTACTCAAATATGGGCATCCAAAAAAAAATAACGTTTAAAATATAAAATCTGTTGAATTAATAAATTAAAAAATCTATTACGTCTTTAGAAATATCTATATACATACATACATACATACATACATACATACATATATATATATATATATATATATATATATATATATATATATATATATATATATATATATATAAAACAACAAAATATATATATATAGATAGATAGATGAGAAAGGAAAGGAATAGGATAAGAATAAGATAGATAGATAGATAGATAGATAGATAGATAGATAGATAGATAGATAGGAAAGGAATAGCAGAAGAATAAGATAGATAGATAGATAGATAGATAGATAGATAGATAGATAGATAGATAAGAAAGGAAAGGAATAGGATAAGAATTAGATAGATAGATAGATAGATAGATAGATAGAAAAGGAATAGGATAAGAATAAGATAGATAGATAGATAGATAGATAGATAGATAGATAAGAAAGGACAGGAATAGGATAAGAATTAGATAGATAGATAGATAGATAGATAGATAGATAGATAGATAGATAGGAAAAAGGAATAGCAGAAGAATAAGATAGATAGATAGATAGATAGATAGGTAGGAAAGGAATAGCAGAAGAATAAGATAGATAGATAGATAGATAGATAGATAGATAGATAGATAGATAGATAGATAGGTATGAAAAGATATATTTAAATATAAATTATCCAATACCTGTGTAGTTTTGGCCTTCATAAGCAATTAGCTAAGAATTTTTCGGCTCGTCGTTTTTTGGTTCCGAATTGATAACCATTACACTACCAGCAAATCCTTTTCTTTAAACACTGTAAAGATAATATTTAAAAAGATTTCTTAGCAAGAGTAAATAAATAAAATAAAACATCGATAAAAATAAAAATAAATTAACGTCATATAAAGTTGTCTTACATTTGGATTAAAAAAAAAAAAAAGAACAAAATAATATTAATACACTATTTACATTATTCAAACTATTGTCCTCATCTTTGTCGCCATATTTATCACAACGTTTTGGCCGTTGTACGCTCCGGCCTTCTTCAGGTGGTTGGAATGTCGAACTGAACCCTTTATTTCGCTCACTGGGGTAGACTGTTCTAGTTCTACGTGCCATGTTTGATGGATGTCAGCTATCATTTATCTCCTGTTAATTTCCCTCTGAACGTTCTCCACTGCCTTAACCGGGTATTGAACTCACCTTCTTTGGGTCTGTCACTGGATCTAACCAACCTCATCTCAGAGATATAGACAGACTCTGAAGAATATTAATATTGGTACCTTTGTCGTTTTATTCGCTAATTTTCTTTTTTAATAATTTCACCCCAGTCAGGGCAATACAGCCACTAAGACGCTATCAGTTACTGAAAGGGAGAATATGAGAAAAATAAACATTATTAAGAATAGAGAACAGTTACAGACCAGGAATTAAAAAGACGGATTGATAGCAATTCAAATTTTTTAAAGTTCAAATTTAACTGGGAAGTGAGAAGGAGATCTACAAGTGAGAAGGGCGAGAGAAGAAACTGTTAGCATAGAACTTACGGTTACATCTAGCCAATTCAACTGTAAAATGATGAGACCTTACCACTAATCTAGTACTGCGCTTAAATTTTTAAAGTCTAGATACCAAAGTTCATCAGAACAATTACTATGAAAATATTTATAGAAAAGGCTACGTTACGGCGGTGGGAAAATGACAGAAGCCGAGGTGCCACGTCAGGACCAATAACATTGCATATTCTTCTTTAAGAACATTCTGAGAATTTATATGTTGATAAATATGATAGTTTTTTTTTTTTAATACTATGACCTTTAGAATTTCCGTATTTGCTTGAAGACAGTAGAATGGTTCTCTCTTGCATCCTTCACAGTTTTGAATTCAAAATTTATATGTCACTTCCTTCAGCGTTCCCACACTTCGAAACTATTCCATATCAGTTATCGGACCTCATCTCTACAATTCTACATGTCTCCATCCAGTTTTACTGATATGCCAAATTTTTTCATTTCATGACTTTAAATAGTGTTATACCGGAACATTACCTATTCTACTGTAATAGACTCTCCCACACATAATAAGTAGTAGTAGTAGTAGTAGTAGCGGTGGCCAGTTGAGCTCAGTGGAGTTGAGTGAGTCAGTCGATGTCGGACATTGAAGTATCAACCATCACAACTAGATTGCTGCGTCATTAACTCTTATTTCAAGTTCCTAACATTTGTACGTCGGACCCTTTTAGGACCGACAGCGAAATACAAGCCTCCACTGTGAAAACTACTCTACAACAAATAGGCAGGTTGTTTCGCTGTTATCTAGATATATGCCACATCTCGTTAGAACGCAGGTGATCATGACTCTTCACAAGTTCTTTTTCTTTATTATCTGCCAATTGTCATGCCTTCTTGGGACATATAGTGAGTGGTTTCCCTTTTGTCTTCTCCACAGTTTTGAATTCCCAGTTTTCCTTCTGTGGAAAGCTAGAGAACCCAGATTAGTTTGCTATTTAATCCATAGCTGGAGAGGAGAAAATATAGATTTATGTCTCTCCTAAGGGCATTAGTGCGAAAGGCAAAGCAACAGATTGGTCCAGAACTTGAACTCAGCACTCCATAAACACCCAAAATAAAGGAAAAGTTGGGTAAACATGGCTGATGCTAACCTCCAGGAAAGTGACTCGTTGTTTGTCGGGCGAATGTTCTCAGCTGACATGAAGTGGAAAGACTATATTGAATCTATTGCTAGGAAAGTTGGTTCACGAAAACAATTTTTCTCTGTAGAATCTACCTTACATAGCTATAAGTCTACCATTCATCCATGCTTAGAACATTGCTACCACATATGATCCGGTGCCCCTGCTATGTACTTTGAGTCCCTTGATGAAATCCAAAGATGAATCAACAATATTATAAGTCCTAATATAAGTATTTTAACCAAAATATAATATTTCTTTCTTTCTTTCTTTCTTTCTTTCTTTCTTTTTCTTTCTTTCTTTCTTTCTTTCTGAAAAATTCAAGGCACAACTTAGAATGGATTTCAAAATAATTCTGATGTTTGGCAATTTGGCTAGATTTTGGAAAATTGCTCAAACCAAGAGAATTTTAGACCCCTCTCTCTTATATATATATATATATATATATATATATATATATATATATATATATATATAAATTCCCTTGTTTATAAATCTCAATAGTCACTAGTTATTTACTAACGCCTGATGACATAGGTTGATTCGCATCGAGACACGACTGCTTTTTGTGTAGCCTTTTTTGACATGTTTTACTTTATATCCTAAAATAAATAATTTTGCTCTACTTTGTATTGAGCCCTCCTTTAAATGGAATGTTACGAACGTTGGAATTGGACCCATTCGTTCACATTTTGCATTTATATATATATATATATATATATATATATATATATATATATATATATAGAGAGAGAGAGAGAGAGAGAGAGAGATAGATAGATAGATAGATAGATAGATAGATATACCATGCGAAAGAGAAGGGGTACTAAAAAATTCAAGGAATAACCTAAAATGAATTCCAAAATAATTCTGATGTTTGATTATTAAGATCTTGGGAAGTGAATCAGGCCAATAAATCTTTAGAACCATCTCATTGTCCATTTCATAATGTGTGACATCATTTGTTTACATTTGATACGCCATGAGCAGATATGAATGTACGTGAGAGATTCATGGATGATTGAAGTTTAAATACAGCAAATTCGACCTTGCTAACCGTGGCCAAATCGGTAAAGGCACGTCACGCTAAATGACGGTTCCGTATAGGATACAGGTTCGAATCCTGTTTGAGGACGAATATTTTCTGTGAAAATTTCTCGGACATTCAGGCCGGTAAATGTTGTTTAATACTGTTTATTATAAACAGAGCATTTACTTAAATATTTGTATCTATAAAAAGAATGTATAAACATAAAAATGTCTTAAAATATATATATATATATATATATGTGTGTTATTTAAAGAGAAACTGTTCATTATGTCTTGCCTTACAGGACACTGTTTTTCATGACATTATTGAGAAATCAATGTCTTCATCAAACGAATTCAACTGACGCCCTTCCAATGTCGACACAAGAGAAAGGTTATTGGCGTCTCTTTGGATAAACATGCCCCTGGTTATTTTATTTATTTTTAACTTTCTTTTTTTTTTACTCCGACAGTTCATTATTTCTTTGTTTAGTTTCTTTGTCTATGTTTGACTTGTCTCTTTCTTCATTTTTTTTTTCTTTTTATTGTTGTTGTTTGCTCTACCTTTTGTGTTTTCAAGCTGTTTCTTAGCCCGGCGCTAAAAGTCAGATACGAATTCGCAGTAATTGGCCACTTTCTCATTTGACACTTGAGTGAATCAGTTCCTTTTTCTTTTTCCTTTTCCGATTTTTGTCTTTTTAATTTATTTATCATCCCCCCCCCACACCAACCAACCAACCCACGACATCGTCTCGGACGCTCTTGCTTCGTCTAGCATTAGTGACTAACTTTCATATTGTCCAGTTTTTTTCTTCTCTTTTTGCAAAGTGCTCTTTTGTAATTAGGAGCTATCTTTTATTTTTTTTTCTTCTCTTGAGCTAAGTGTAAACACCCCTCCCCACTAACACACGCGCACATTGACGTTCTAAACACCACATAAAATCAAGTATATACGAGCACACGCAAACGCCGATGCATACACAAACACACTCAATACATACAGTCAGCAGTACACGTACACGCTTTATTCACTTTTCTTCTCGTTCACACACACTATTGCATGTTCAGGAGCAAGGTCGGTACAAGGGTTTAATGCTCCTCCTACTCCTAAAATCTATGATACGAGACTCTCTACTCTATTACAGCTAAATTTTCATAATGTAGTATTCATACAAAAATTACAAATTTTATTGTAACTTAATTATGTATAATAATGGATCAGATGCAATATTGGTGAAAAATTCAAGTAGAAAAATTGAAAATAAATACAATGTATCTAAATACAAACTAGAGACATGTCACAATAGATCATGCCGCCATCTTAAATAAATCAACAATGTTTTGCGGCAATTTTTTATATCTACTTGAGATATTTCTAGTTAAAAAGTTGAATAATTTTAACATATTCAAAGTTATGGGTAAAAATAGTGACTTTTATAAAAAAAGATTTTTCGAGATGGGCAAAACAAATTCACGGATTTGGACGAAAAGTGTCATCAAAATCCGCAAAGAATTTTCAGTCAATTGTGCTTAGTTTAATTTATCATACTTATTATTATTTTTCCATTACAAAGACTAAGAGTTTGTAGAAATAGCCATAGCGATTATTATTTTAAGCGCTTTCGGCTAATAATTTAACTATTTCCAAGGTTGTTAAATTCTGTTGTATTTCCGCTTGAAAATGGATAAGTTTTTTCGCAGAAAGCGCTTGGGACAATAATCCCTACGAACAGTTTCTGCAAACTCAGAAAAGAAAAGCTGTAAGAACGCTAGAAAAACTGGCTAAAATTCTCACAGAATATTCTTTAGTCACCGAATTCAAAAAAAAGAAAAAAAAAGAAAGAAAAGTTAACCGAGCAATGTGTATTATTCGGCTGACGATATTTCATAATTATAATTATATATTTATTTAATAAGACTAAAATTTCTTTCGAGAGTCAGCGAACAAGTAGCAAAAGTTTTATTAAATTTCATTAGTTGAATTAATTACATATTATATCAGTA